TATATATTGTTGTTTTACGTTGAGACCTGTGTAACATTTGTTATTGTTATCATTGTTAATGGAGGAAGAAAAGTTAGTATCGGCTTCAAGAATCGGCCCAAAAATATCGGCTGCTCGTATCGGCGTATCGGTTAGACTGATTTTTAAAAAATCGGTATCGGTATCGGCCTTCAAAAACCTGTATCGGTCGATCTCTAGTAATTATGTAAATCACCTCTCTGGTGCACGAGCAGCTGGATACACATTCATCACAGTTTACTCCTCATTTACACACTTTTCCTGAAGATAGAAGAGTTTGTTGAATCTGACAAAAGTGACAAATTTAGAATAAGAATACGAACATGTTCCTGCATGAGGTCCATTATTCTGAAAAAATTGATCCACAATATGAGATAGTTTGAGTAATGAACCTTTGACCAGGTTTCGACAAGATTTTATTTTTTTACCTGCCCTGTCGGGCAGGTGACAACAAATGTTACCTGCCCGACATGAAAAGTTACCTGCCCGAAACAAAAATGTTCAAATTTTGATAAAATAAGAAAAACGTGTACTGTACTTTGTACTACAAAAAGATTAACATGGTTATACAGAGGTACAGTATATAATATATGACAATCTGATTAAACAGATGCAAACATTTTAGACTGAGTTACTAACAGTCAATTGTATTATCAAGAACATCTTCAAAAACCTTTTTAGAACTTTGACCAGTGTTTCCCTTAGACCACGTGTCAAACACAAGGCCCGTGGGCCACATTTGGCCCGCGAGTGGCTCCCGTGTTGCCTGCCAAGGGGGTCCCCCCACCAATTTTTTTTAACAGGAAATTTGTTTCTTATATCAATGTTAAACTTTTAATTTATGGTTAAATGCAACAAAATTAATTTAATAAAAATAAATGAAATAAAAATAAATTTAAAAATTCCTGTCCCTGAGCTGTTGGCTTGAAGTAACTGAGCAATTTATTTGGATAGTGCAGTATTAATGTCTGAAAATAAGCTGCTTTAAAGTCGCCACGAAACATAAACTAAATCTGCCATAATGCAGCTACTCACTAGAAACTCATCAGTGAGTAAAACATTTTTGTTTTACTTTTAATAATATTTCTGTATTTATTTCAGATTTAGTCAGTCATACATTCTTATCAGTGTTTAAAAGAGGACGTGTTAAAACTCTGTTTAGTCAATGTTAAACATAAAACATCAAAGTTCATTACAAGTGGCCCTTCGAGGGCCACCATAACTCTCATGTGGCCCTCGGTGAAAATGAGTTTGACACCCCTGCCCTAGAGTATTGGCCTTGAGTGTGGGGTTTATGAAAACAGAATGATCAACAGCAGCAGCTTTGTTTTAAATACAATTTACAGAACATGAAAAAGTCTGAAATTTGCAATAATTAAATCTTATATAGTGAATCTCATATCCAAAGATACGTTTAAGATATCTTGAACTGGAGTCTCCACACAACATGATGATAAATCTAATGTTATTCATACAATTCAGAATATAATTAGAGATATCTTAAATAGGTATTTTGAATTGTCAAAATATGAGATGTCTATTTATTTGTTTTTCGTTCATTCATAAAAACAAAACCATCTATGAACAGCATTAAAAAAAAAACAAAGTAAATCATATCCTGAAGTAAAAGGGTGCAGAGTGAAGTAAAAAAAACTTATCATATTTGCCTCTTATTTTCAAAAATCAACTTCAACAAACAAACAAGCTCAAGCTGGAAAGTTCTCCAAATTAAAAGAAAATAAGTAAATAAAACAAAATAATACATTTTATTATTTTATCCTAAATAACTAATATGTCTAATTTAGTCATAAAACAATTTCAGATAACTAGAATATAAGTGTGGTGAAGCCAAATAAATGATATATCGGCCTGCCATAAAATGAGCTTTTGACCCACTGCTCCTCTCATCTTCATCATCATCTTCATCAGAGCAGAAGCCGACATTAGCGAGATGGATTTATGACTGAACAAACGTCCACATATTTTTTTCATCTCTGCGGGTAACAGTACATTAAAAAACGTTTCTTTTCCTCCGGAAACACGGGTGGGAGAAAAGCTGTGGTTGTTAACTTCTCTCTGTGCAACGTGCAGCAGGAAGGAGGGAGGAAGTGATCCTGTGACACGACAGTAAGATGTAACTTTTCTACAGCAGGAGGGAGGGGGACATTTTGACGATTTATTCTCTCTTTACGTGTTTTAAAACGCCATATTTCTTCATTTGTTTTCAGAATATTTTGAATAAATGGCCCTATAAAAAATAAAAGAAATTGTTTACCTGCCCGGTCGGGCAGGCATTGGGACACACCCACCTGCCCGACAATGGGTTTTACCTGCCCCGGGCAGTCGGCCAATAGGATCTGTCGAACCCTGCCTTTGACCATCGTTACTTTTGATTGATTCTGTCTTTACGTCATTGGTTATAAGAAGTGTGCAGCTGTTATTTGTGCCTCATATCTGTTCGTTAAATAACGCTGGGTGGGAAGTGTTAACGGCTGCCTCTGGCTTTTATTTTCTTTCTGTGGGAACGGCCTCAGCAGAACAGAACATTCACTTCTTTGTAAGCATTCAGGAAGTCTTAAGAGATCTGGGAAGAAAAGTTTGAGCCGTGTAGTTTTTAACTTTCTCACATGACTGGGATCTGGCTTTATGGTGCGTCACCCTGTGACACAGCTCAGGACCTGGACCAGGACTGGACGCTCCACTTGGCCTGTGAATCCTGGAGGATTTGGCACAGGAAGTCTGAGTGACTCAGGTGTGCGAGTCACTCTGTGGTGGTGCAGTGGGCCCAGACGTGCCCTCAACCTGAGCCTGTGTCATTTAGATACCAGTGAGTGAACAGAACGGTTCCTCCCAGTCGGGCCTAAAAGGAAGGTTTCCACGTGCTGTAATCCAGGCTGAGTTAGCCTCTGCTTCCTGTCTGAGGCTTTTTAGAACCTGATTTAAGGACTTATTACGGTGAAGTGTGTTGATCTCAGTTTGTTGTTTTCTCTCAGATGGATGAAGCCAGAGATTGTTATCGGCTTCCTCAGGCGTCGTCCTCTCAGAGCTGGAGCAGCTGGTTTGTGACGGGCGCTGCTGTGAGCGTGCTCGGAGCCACCGTCCTCTTCCTTTTCTGCAGAACTGCTGGTGGCGAGGTTTACCTGTGTTAAACCAGAGTTCATGCCAACGTTTGCTTTGTTACTCATGTTCAGCTGTAAAATTTGTTTTTGTCTTTAAGAACTGTTTAAAGAGACTAAAGTATTTTTGTTTCTTAGCTCCTAATAACTTGTTGCAGTCTCAATTCATTTGTAGTTATATTTGATATTTTAGGGCTTTAAAATATTCAAATTGTTTTTTTTTTTTTTTTTTTTTTTTTTTTTTTTTTTTTTTAGACAAACACACAAATGGACCCTTTAAAGGGAGAGTTAGTATATTATCAGTTTGTGGAGGATGGAACAGTTTGTGCAGCCTGGGCTAAACCAAACATACCAGTGAGAAAGAACGCTGCGTCAGCTAATAAAGGGATCCATGATTACTTGTAACAGACTTTATTTGATTAGCGTTTATTTTACCTCTAAAATAAAGTCTGTAAAAATACTGTGCACTGTTTAGTTTTTATATATTTTTTAAAATATATTGTCACACAGAACCATTTTATTTACATGCAAAGCATTCTGGATAAATGTTGACGTCAACTAGATTGTTGTTGTGAGGATGCTAGCGAGCTATATCCACCCTGAAGGTTAATCTTGGACAATATCTGATGATCGACTCTTTTAAATGAAACCAGAGAGCGTTGACAGAGAGGAGAAGGTAGAAATGACTCAGCCTGDAACTGAAAATATGGATGGAGGACAACAGAGCTGCTTCATGGAAGAASAACCTCAGCTYAGCCTGTTAGCTTTAGCGTTAGCACTGACGCTATATCGCCACAAACATGTATTAGCTCGGTGCTAGCATGAAAGCTAAAAAGCTAAACTGAGGTCCTCCATGTACATGATGGAGAAGAATGTAGAAATGACTGAGGGCAGCTGTAGATCCTCCTCTGATCCTCTCCATCCCAGAACTCTTTAATACAGCTCATACAGTAGTTGTGTCCACAGGGAATAGTCACTGGATCCTTCAGGAGATCCAAGCAGATGGAACAGGAGAACTCAGGTTCTTCTTCCATGAAGCAGCTCTGTTCTCCATCATTTTCATTTGCAGGCTGTTATTTCTACCTTCTCCTCTCTGTCAACTCTCTCTGGTTTCATTTAAAAAAGCTGATTGCCAGATATTATCAGAGATTAACCTTCAGGGTGGATATAGCTCGCTCACTGCCTCGCACCAATGACTTAGTTGACGTCATCATTTACTCAGAATGCTTTTGCAGTGTAAATAAAATGGCTCTGTATTGTAAAAACTCTGTAAAAATAAATAAAAAACTAAACAGCCTACAGTATTTTACAGTCTCTTTATTTGACAGTTAAAATAAAAGTTTATCAAATAGTCTAATGTTACAAGTAATCATGGATCCCTTTAAACCTCTAGACTTTTGCTTGACTCTATAGTTTTTCACTATATTCTCAATGTTTGTGCTGAAAATGCTGGATGTTTTTGGGATCAGAAGGACTTAAACATTCCCAGAAAATATCAACATGTTCTGCACACGAGCATTAGCATAACGGCAACAGATTAAAAATGATTTAATATCAGCTGATGCAGCAATATTTATGATGCTGTCACTGTTAAACGATTGTATAAACCTGAAAAACTAAAGAAATGGCACACATTTGGTTAGTCATTAGCTTAGCTAGAACAAAGACTTGTATCTCTGACTGATGTCATGGTTCTAAAATGACCACACTGTCTCTTTAAATCATCTCAGCTTTTATTCAGCAGCTCTGAACTGTTGCTGCAAACATCTCCTTTGTTTTTCTCCATTTGTTCAAAGGGATCAAATGATCCTGAAACCTGCATGCTGGTTAAATCAGTTAAACCTGAATCAATACAGTTCAGTTCACATTAGTTATCAACTCTGACATAACTCTTTATGTTTTGGTTCAGTCTTTGTTGTCAGATTTTATTTGATTAAAACTATAAATTTGGTGACATTAATCTGTAAACACATCAACGCTTGTGTGAGATCGGATCTGTGCTGGACAAACTACAGCTGCTGCTGTGATAACAATGTTGTGTTCAATAAAGTGAAAAGTGCAGAGAGACTTGGTGCCTTGTTTTTCTGCTTTTCATCCACAGAGATTATGAGAAAAATCCAATTTACCCATTAATCTCATCTGGCCCGGGTCTCAGGACCTCCAGATCAAAGATGGAGGAAATGCTGTTTGACAGAACCTCAGATTTCCTCCAGGAACTTCAAACAGATCAACAGATAATCCAGTGGAAACGGGCACATCACCTTTAGGTGCTGCTGTGGGAGAACAGTGGTGCCCATACATAAACACTGAATCATCTATAATATTAACTCTGCTATGAGTCACCAGCAGTGCCTTTAACATAACTTTTAATCTCTGCAGATTACACAGTTCAGGTGTTGAAATGTTAACATTTTGTTCATTTAGATCAGGAGGGTCAAATTGATACAAGGGGGCCAAAATTCAAAACTTGGTCCAAACCAAGAGCCAGTTTCTGTCAGTATTTATTGATGAAATGTTATATGAACAATTAATCTTATAGAAATACAAATAAACTTCATCAAATGTGTTCTGTAGCATTTAGATGTTAAAACATATATAACCTAACAGATAAAGAATAAAACGGATTACTTCTTAAGCCTTACAACAGTTTTTTTCATTTATTCTTAGAGATACATATCAAAATCAACAAAAACCTAAAATCCCTTGCTAAAAATCCAGTTATTTGACTTTAAAAGAAGAAAAAAATATAGAAAAAACAAAGTGTCATTTTAACACTGAGTTGAATTTAACTTTCAGATATTTGGTCCCACTCGAAATTAGTGTAAAATGTACTTTATAGCCAGTGTCAACCTTTCAGAGTTAATTTTACTCATTTTAGTGTCCAAAATTGGATGAAAATTTTAAAAAATACTATCTGGTGTGCACCAGATAGTATTGCTCTCATTGGCGCAGCAGCTTGCTGACAGTAGCCGCATAGCCTTTCCACCTGCAGTTACTGGATGTTTATGATTTCCCTGACAACAGTGTAGCTTTGCTAAAGCTAGCCAACTGCCTTCAGGCTTTTATCTCAAAAAGTACTGAACAGATTTACTTACGTGGACAAAATTATTGGTGCCCCTCGTATAATAAAAGAAAAACCCACAATGGTCACAGAAATAACTTGAATCTGACAAAAGTATAAATAAATAAAAATTTTACGAAAATGAACAAATGAAATTTAGACATTGTTTTTCAACCATGCTTCAACAGAATTAAAAAAATAATAAAACAGGCCTGGACAGAAACAATGGTTGTTGCACAATCTTTTGATGGAATGTCACCTCTGGTGGGGAAGGATCCTGAGCTGTGTGAGGCTGAGAGGTTTCGACTAGATATAGTTAGACTCACCTCGACGCACCGCTCTGGAACCAGTCTCCTCGAGAGGGGTTGGACACGCTTCCACTCTGGAGTTGCCCATGCTGAGAGGCGCCGAGCAGGAGTGGCCATACTTATTGCCCCCCATGCCTGTACGTTGGGGTACACCCTGGTGAGCGAGAGGGTAGCCTCCCTCCGCCTACGGTTGCGGGGATGGGTCCTGACTGTTGTTTGTGCCTATACGCCTAACAGCAGTTCAGATTACCCACCCTCTCTGGAGTCCTTGGAGGAGGTGCTGGAGAGCGCTTCTAATGGGGACTCCCTCATTATGCTGGGGGACTTCAACGCTCACGTGGGTAATGACAGTGAGACCTGGAGAGGCGTGGTTGGGAGGAACGTCCCCCTCCCCCAATCTGAACCCGAGCAGTGTTTTGTTAGTGGACTTCTGTGCTCGTCAAGGATTGTCCATAACGAACACCATGTTCAAACATAAGGGTGTCCATATGTGCTCTTGGCACCAGGACACCCTAGGCTGCAGTTTGATGATTGACTTTGTTGCCTCATCTGATCTGCGGCCGCATGTCTTGGAAACTCGGGTGAAGAGAGGGGCGGAGCTGTCAACTGACCACTACCTGGTGGTGAGTTGTCTCCTGCCGGTCAGACTTGGCAGACCCAAACCTATAGTGAGGGTCTACTGGGAATGTCTGTCAGAGTCTCCCGTCAGACGGAGCTTAAACTCACCTCCGGGGGAACTTCAAACATGTTCCGGGGGAGGTGGGGGACATTGAGTCCGAGTGGGCCATGTTCCGTGCCTCCATTGTTGAGGCGGCTTACCTGAGCTGTGGCCGTAAGGTTGGCAGTGCCTGTCGTGGCGGCAACCCTCAAACCCGCTGGTGGACACCGGGGGTGAGGGATGCAGTCAGGCTGAAGAAGGAGTCCTATCGGGTCTTTTTGGCCTGTGGGACTCCAGAAGCAGTGGATAGGTATCTGCAGTCCAAGCGGATTGCGGCTCAGGTGGTCGCTGAGGCAAAAACTCGGGCGTGGGAGGAGTTCGGAGAGGCCATGGATAAAGACTTCCATACGGTTTCAAGGCGATTCTGGTCCACCATCCGGCGTCTCAGTGGGGTGGGGGAGCGGTTCGCCACCAACACTATATGGAGGGGATGGTGCGCTGCTGACCTCAACTCGGGACATTGTGGGTCGGTGGGCGGAATACTTTGAAGACCTCCTCAATCCTACCGACATGTCTTCCCATAAGGAAGCAGAGCCTGAGGACCCTGGGTCAGACTTCAATCTCTGGTGCTGAGGTCACTGAGGTGGTTAAAAAGCTCGGTGGTAGGGCGCAGGGGGTGAATGAGATTCGCCCGGAGTTCCTTAAGGCTCTGGATGTTGTGGGGTTGCATTGGTTGACGCGACTCTACAACATCACGTGGACATCGGGGGCAGTTCCTCTGGATTGGCAGACTGGGGTGGTGGTCCCCCTATTTAAAAAACATTTTGTCCACGTGTGTACATGAAACTTTTAGAAAATGTTTATTACACAACCGAGAACAACAAATTAAAGTTTAAAACATATCAGAGCACAAGCTGGGTAGCGGCTTCAATTGAATTATCATGCTACAGAAAAAACACTCTGCGGTTTTCTCAGATGTTTGTTTACTCTCTTTCCTGGATAACAGAAGAGGGGATTGGGGTGCAGAGTGGGCTCACCCCTGTTGCAGGGCTCCTTTGTAAAGTATGAAAAAATAAATAAAACCCACGTCGTTTTAATGAAACTTTCAGGGAGCGACCGCTGACAGAAAACTGATCCTAATTGCACGGCTGGTTAGTTGGAGTTTGGTTTTCTAAGATCTAATATATTCCCCTCTCCTGTTGTCAAATAAATCACACTAAAAACAAAAGAAAGTTTCAGGAAATGTTTAACGCACCACAGAGATCAGCTGATTAAAGTTTGAAACATGTCTGTTAGCAACTGTTAGCAATGTCTTTGTCGACCACCAGCTACAGCCTGGATCTCCATGGAGCAGAGCAAGAGCCTCCTCCTGGTCAAAGCTGGACAGGGAGCCAGGCTGACCACTTGGGCTCTGCTTTCCGGGGGAGGAGCCAAACCCACTGTGCCTAAATGCATATTATCAGGCACACAAATAATTGATAAGTGTCTTCCAACTTACTAGGAGGTAGAGAAGGGACAATCTGCAGACAGTATAGGGCTGATAACCTCTAATAACGGCCATTAAATGGACTGACAACATTCAAAGTAGTTGATTTCAGCAGAAAGTGTGGAGTCTGAGTCAACAAATCATTTGAATGGATTAATCAAAGTGAAGAAGATCAGACTCTGAGTCAGACCACTCTGTTACTCTGTTAGAGGAGCACTTCAGCCATACCGTCCATTCTCAGCTCAGCTCCCATATGGACCTGACTCTGGACCAGAGACAAAACTAAAGGAACTTTAAATAAAATGTTTGTTTTTGGAATAAACTGGGATTATTTCTGCAACAACACACCTGCCTGTCTTTCAGCTTTCATCAGCAGACAATAATCTAAGTGACTAAAACATTTACTGTCATTTAAAAAGATCAAAACTATAAACTCCAGTTGAATCTTCAGAAAGCTATAATTCTGCTTCAAACTGTTCCTCCTTCTAAAATGAAAAGGGTAAAAAGCTGTTCTGTCTCTTTGAGTTCAGCTGCAACAGTTTATTTCCTGGTTCCTCCCCTTTAACAGATCTGACAGCTCAAACTGACACCAGGAAGTAAAAGTGAAGCAAAACTGGGCTCGGCTTCTTGTGGAACGCATTTAGTTGTTTTGTTTCCAGTTCTTTAGAGGTGAAACTAGCAGCAAGAAACCAAATGGATTCAAAAATGTTCTCCTGTTCCATCTGTTGGCATTCCTTGAAGGATCCAGTGACTATTCCCTGTGGACACAACTACTGTATGAGCTGTATTAAAGAGTTCTGGGATGGAGAGGATCAGAGGAGAATCTACAGCTGCCCTCTGTGCAGGAAGGACTTTGAACCGAGGCCTGTTCTGGTAAAAAACAGGTTGTTAGCAGAGTTGCTGGAGGATCTGAAGGAGCTGACCGAGCCGGAGGCCAGTCGACGACAAATCCAGCAGAGAATCCAGGTGCGACAGCAAGATGTGAAGCTGCTCGAACAGGACATGGAGGCCATCTTCTTGCAGCTGATCTATCTCCTCCAGAAAAGCTCTGATGTGATACAGCAGCTCAGATCCCAGCAGGAAACTGAAGTGAGTCGAGTCAAAGAGCTTCAGGAGAAGCTGGAGCAGGAGCTGACTGAGCTGAATAGGAAAGACGACCAGCTGGAGCAGCTCTCACACACAGAGGATCACAAGCAGTTTCTCCACAACTACCCCTCAGTGTCAGCACTCAGTGAGTCTCCACACTCATCCAGCATCAAGACTCGTCYTCTCACATACTTTGAGGACGTGACAGCAGCTGTGGAGGAGCTCAGAGACAAACTACAGGATGACCTGAGGGACACCTGGACAAACATCTCACTGAGAGTCTCTCAAGTCCACGTTCTGCTGTCACAACCAGAACCAGAACCAAAGAGCAGAGATGGATTCTTAAAATATTCACAAGAAATCACTCTGGATCCAAACACAGCAAACAGACGCSTGTTATTATCTGATGGAAACAGAAAAGCTACATTGATAGAACAACAACAGTCTTATCCTGATCATCCAGACAGATTCACTGATTATAATCTTCAGGTTCTGAGCAGAGAGAGTCTGAGCGGACGTTGTTACTGGGAGGTGGAGTGGAGCGGGGTAGCTGTTAATGTTGCAGTTTCATACAAGAATATCAGCAGAGCAGGAAGATCATATGATTGTTTCTTTGGATGCAACAACAAATCCTGGGTCTTCCGATGTGACTCAAAGAGTTACTGCTATATATTTAAACACAATAAGTCCATAACTCAAGTCTCAGGTCCTGTTTCCTCCAGAATCGGAGTGTACCTGGACCACACAGCAGGTGTTCTGTCTTTCTACAGCGTCTCTGAAACCATGACCCTCCTCCACAGAGTCCAGACCACCTTCACTCAGCCCCTCCACGCTGGAGTTGGGGGTTTTTATGATTCTTCAGCTGAGTTCATGAAACTGAAATAGTCCAAATCTACTTGAAGTCCTGTTGGTCAGAATCTGTTCTGTTTTACAGTTTTTGTTCTCTTATTGTTGGATAATCTGTCTGCTGCACAGAGATTATACAAAACAAACATGGATTAAAAAAGACAAACTGTTAAACAGTCCAAACTGATTGTTGCAGTAAAAGGAAATATAAAAGTCACAGGTTTTTTTATTGGGTTTTCTGATTTATTTTTTAAAATAATGAAATTTAAAAATGTCATTTATTTCTTTTAATATATTTTCGGTTGTTCAATAATATGTTTTCAAATATTCAGTCATAGGTGCAGAAAAACAGCAGAAACAAAATTATTTGATTGAGATTGAAG